ATAGCCGTGGCCAGCCAGCTAAGGCCACGGAGGATCTGCCATGGCCTCCTGAGTCCCCTGATTCACCATGGCTCCCTGAACTGTCTGCTCCGCCATGGCTCCCTGAGTCCTCTGTTCAGCCATGGATTCCTGATCCGCTCTGGAGGCTCTCCATGTCTCCGCCCTGTTCCAGTCCTGCGCCCGCCCCCCCCTCCCCGATGGTACTATTACGGCGCGGGACGCACCGTCCGGGAGGGGCGATCTGTCACGTGGATGTTCCTGTTGCCCTTATTTGGTTCTTCCTGTGTCCTGTCCTCATTGGTTATCATTTGTGTCCAGCTGTGTTTGATTAATTAGTTCATTTGTTCCCAGGTGTGTCCCATTGGTGTCTGTGTATTTATAGTGTGTTCTGCCCCTTGTTTCCCGTCTGCTGTTAAATGTCATTCTGTCTGCTTAATGTCTCCAGTGTTCCCTGTGTTCCGAGCGTTACCCTCATTAAACCCTTTTGATTTGTATTACTCCTCGTCTCCTCGCTCCTTCGTTCCTTCCTCCCCGAGTGACCATGACAAGTTTAAACTTAGTTTACATTAATAATAAATGTTTCTTGAGCAGCAAATCAGCATATTAGAATAATTTCTGAAGGATCATGTGACACTGAAGACTGGAGTAATGATGCTGAAAATTCAGCTTTGCATCACAGGAATAAATTTCATTTTTAAATATATTAAAATATATTTCACAATATTAATGTTTAACTGTATTTTTGATCAAATACATGTAGCGTTGGTGAGCATAAGAGACTTTTTTTCAAAAACATTAAAAATCTCACAAACCTAAACTTTTGAACGGAACTATATAGTTCAACCAAAAAATACAAATGTCATCATTTACTCACCCTCACGTCATTCTGACCTGTATTATTGTCTTTCATTTGTGAAACACTAAAGGAAATCTTAGGCATGATGTCAGAACTCTTTTCCTTACAACAAAAGGTGATTAATACTACAGTACATAACATCAAACCATGTTGGAATGAAATTGACCTTTTATTATATTTTACCTCAATAATAATAGCACACTCTTATCTTCCCTGAGGTGTGCTGAGCACTTGGTGACCAGTGGTGCGCAGGTGAACGTGACCCAGCGAGACTCAGGTCTCACCCCCCTTCACATGGCCTGCAGGAGAGGGCTGGAGGACCACGTGGAGCTCTTCCTGTCCTATGGAGGGGACGTGACAGCTCGGAGCCAAGAGGGCGAGACGCCCTTGAACGCAGCCTGCGCTGGGGCAGAGAGGCCTGCAGATGCAGGACGGTATTTGCGTATTGTCCAGAAGCTGCTAGCGGCTGGGGCTGATGCGCAGACTGCTGGGAGGAAGAAGCATACGGCCCTGCATAACGCCTGTGGAAACTGTTGCCACCGCATAGTTGAACTGCTGCTGGAACATGGGGCTCGTGCAGACGTAGCTAACTGTGCTGGATACACACCCATGGACTGCCTGTTACAGGTGGGATGATGATGGTATATAGGGTTAAGACTTTTGCAAGATCCTATTTTTATTCTTAGATGTTGATTTTCACAGAGACAGCACAAAATATAAAGATCACTTTTTATTGAAACAGTTCACCCCAAAACTGAAAAATTGTCAAAATTTTAAATTCTGCTGAATGATTTCTGAAGGATCGTGTGACACTGAAGACTGAAGTAATGGCTGCTGAAAATTCAGCTTTGCCATCACAGGAATAAATTATATTTTGAAATGTATTCAAATAGAAAATTATTTTAAATCGTAATAATATTTCATACTTTTGTTTCTACTGTGTTTTTGATCAAATAAATGCAGCACTGGTGAGCATAAGAGACTTCTTTCAAAAACATTAAAAAAGCTTAATTATTCCAAATGGTTGCATTCTTGAAAACATGCTAACAACATGCTAATAACACACTTAATCATGCTAGAAACATGCTAGAGAAATGCTAATCATGCAAGAATCATGCTAGCAACATGCTAGTAACTTGCTAACAACATGCTAGTAACATGCTAATCATGTTAGAAACATGCTAATGACGTGCTAATCATGCTAAAAACATGATAGTAACATGCTAACAACATGCTAATCATGCTAGAAACATGCTAGCAATATGCTAAATCATGCTATGAACATGGTAATCATGTTAGCAGCATACTAATCATGCTAGATACATGTTAACAACATGCTAATCATGCTAACAACATTGTAATCAGCCTATAAAAATGCAAACAACATGTTAATCATGCTAAAACATGCTGACAACATGTTAAATCATGTAAGCAATGTACTAAATCATGCTAGCAACATGCTATCAACATCAACTTTCATACTTTAACAACTGCTTCAAACTTACAGGCTAGGCTTTCTTAAGCCAACTCAAAGTTTGTTCTCAAACTTTACTCATCTAGTTCATATTTTTGTTTGTTTTTGATCAAATAAATGCAGCACTGGTGAGCATAAGAGACTTCTTTCAAAAACATTAAAAAAAAAGCTTAATTATTCCAAATGGCTGAATTCTTCTCTCTGTATTTTGGCAGGTAATAGAGGATTACCCAGACCAGCAGCCAGAGGCTGTGGCTCAATCTCTTCTCAACTATGGAGCACAGCCGCCCTCCCCTAGAGTAAGTGCAGACTGCTATGTGTCCTACCTACACTTTGGTGTGAATCCTTATTTTATGTATCTGTGTGTGAACATCCCAGATGCTGAAACACTGCTTGCCCTCTCCTGCCACTTTGGAGGTAATGCTGAATTGCTATCCGGTCATCCCAGCGTGTGAGGAGTGGTTAGAGGACATACCAGAGGAACTACTGAAGGTCCGTCTGAAAATATATCACATTCTAAAAATTTTATGCTCAAAGGTTTCTCTAACATAGCTCAGGAGAAATAATGAGTTCTCAGTTAGTTTTCATTTACGGATCAAAATCTAATACAAATAAAAAGCAGACACAAATGTTTGACACAAAACTTTGTTTTTTGATATTGCTGACATACTATATATCGTATTATTAGTTGTATTTTATACAGTAAGTTTACTTTGATTTAGCATTTTGGTTGGATAAGCCCTGCCATTTCTATCAACAATGGCTGATCTATTTACGTTTTCATTCAGAAACGTATATCTCATCCTAATGAAAAAACACTTGTTGTATTCTCAGGAGCATCAGTCTTTCTTCGATGCGGCGAGACGGATGAGCGGTCAGCTGCGCTCTCTTCAGCACCTCTGCCGCTGTGCGCTCCGTCGCCACCTGGGGTCACTATGTCACTTCGCAATAGTCCAACTCAACATCCCCAGCACTTTAAAAGATTATCTACTGCAGCATAATGATGGACTGCGTTGAGCTCCATTTTTAGACAAACTAAAAATAGCTGACTAGAAACAATGGGCTGAACTGAATACTGAGGCATCTGTGATGCCTCTTGACAATAGAAGTAGGATGGATTATGGCCCCGGGCCAAATGGGGAAGTGCCCTGGGCATGGCCGGATTTACCATTGGGCTTGAGGCTGCAGCCCGCCTTAACCCGTTTACATTTGTTCAGTTATGTGCCAGTCAGAAATTATTAGCCGCATTTCAACTGCGCACACGGGCCAGCCGGGGCTAACAGCTTCCAACTACGACATTCGAAGCCATAATCAAACAGCATAAACTGGAATTTATGCTATGTTTTCACATAGAAAAAGGACAAGCGTATTAAATCACGTCTGCGCTGCGCCGAATCGCCGATTCATTTGTGATCACATGGCTACTTTAAACGGTTCCATTAAGCCTTTAGCCCAAAAGAGCGCACATAAACCCAGAAAGCTTTGGAAAAGTCGTGGAAATGTATTTTTGCAAATCTCTATATAATAGAATATTTGTTTAATCACGTCCTAAATCTCGGTGCATGATTGCGCATTTTGGTTTTTACTCATTTTCACAGGTTTCGCAAGTTTGGAAAATTCCCTTAAACATTTATTTAATATACAATGTAGGTTAGATGAGTTAAAAAAAATCACACAGAATATCAGATTAAGTCAATCGTTTGAAAACCGCGTGAGTGGTTCAGCTGTACCGCGTCTTCTCGCTCTCACTCTCTCAAAATTGCCTCACGTCAGCGTATCTCATCTGCACTAAGAGAGCTGCTGCACACTGCCAGACAAGACTCCTCCAAACTACTTTTCTGGGCGCTCAAGGTCACATCCAAAGCGCCGAGCACACGAAGCCGCGCAAACACCTCCAGAAAAAGTTATTGTTTTCATTGTTTCTGACTCAAGTAACCTTGCATTTTAATAAATAATGTTACATAAAGACAATTAAACGGTCAGTAATAAATGAACAACTTACTTGCAATAGCATAAAAATACAAATGAAACAAACTGTTTTAACTTGTTCAGGTAGGCTATAGCCTAAAACTAACAGTAGCTTCTACTGTTCAGGAACAAAATACTATGATGTATAAAGTCATAGACATATATTATATTTATATATTAATCCATATTAAATATGAAAAAGTTATTTAGTCAAGAGCAGATTTGAGCAGAGTGATTTTTTTTTTGTTCTTTAACACAGACTGACAGACAGCAGGTATACTACAAACTGCTGTCACTTTCATACCAAATGTTAATGTTAACAATGTTAATTAATTAGGCCTATTGGTATTGTTAATTAATGTTAACAACAAAAGGCAAAATCGCTCACTGCTCTTGACTGAATAACTTTTGTAACTTTAATTTTAAGAATTAATCTGTTGTTTAATTTACAGTGAATTTACAGGTGATTTCATTTGATTGTTAATAGCCAACATGTTATTTTTATTCAGATTGTATTTATTAAATTTAAGAATCTGACATAAAAGGACACAGATATGACAATACATTTTCATAATAATACATCTCTTTGGTTTTTTCTGCTCGGTGTTATTTCAGGGTTTTGTTCTCTCAACTGAGAGATCACATCCTGTTTATTGTATTATAGTGACTTTAATATTACATCTAAACTTTGACTAGGCTAGACATGTTGCCTATAAATTGTATACAGTATATGAACCTGAAAGCATATTTAAATTTTGGTTTATTTTGTGTTACTCCATAATATTCTAGTTGAGGGCATTTGTAGTATAGGTATGGGGCCCAAACATAACCTCAAGCCCAGGGGCCCCCGGCCCCGTAAGTTCTGCCCTGGCCCTGGGGACTTTGACTGTCAGAGGCGTTGAACTAAGAGGACCACAGTGGCCTAACAGACAGACTTAAGGCACTGCAAATGTAATATTGATACTGATAGCTGGATAGTGCTTTAATATGTGCCAATGGTGGTTCTCGCATGTGAAATAAACAAAGACATGAAAATGAGATTGTCCCAGACACCTCCTTGGCACTAACTGAATGTATTGTTTTTTATGTACAGTATGTATTACTTTGATGATGTATATACATATACAAATCTGGATGATGACACTCACGGAATCATCAATGAACTGACTTTAACATGAAAAATGACTGTTTGTTATTGTCCTCTTGCATTATTGACAAACTATTTTCCTGTTTGCCGCTGTAAAGCTGACACAAAACTGACACAATCAGTATTGTATAAAGCACTATACAAAGGTGACTTGACTTGTTGCAGTGTTTATTTGTTTATGTGGATCCCCATTAGTCACTACCAAGGTAGTGGCAATTCTTCCTGGGGTCCAACAAGTAAAAAAAAAAAAAAAACTACATTAATCCACAACAATAAAAGTCAAGTCAATAAAACATACAAACCCAAAACATCAGAATCAACAATTTACTGCATATTGTGCCATGAAATATTCGTTTAAAGATTTTATAAACCTCTTTTTGCTTATGAAAAAATATTTAATGTCCGATGGCAAATCATTCCATATTTTCATATTTATTTGATGCATGCCTGGTGTTAAAATTATGACTAGCAGTATTATACAAAAGTTACTCTAGACACTGAAATATCTCTAATAAAACAAAGCAGAGAAATAATTGTCCTATCGTTCAATAGTGGCCAGCCTAAAGTTTTATTTATTCTTACATTATTAGCCCTTCTATTACAGTTTAGAGTGAGTCGAATTTCTTTATTTCTCACAGTTGCTAGTTTATTTCTTAAATTTCGAAAATTAAGATGCTACACCATTATACTGTAGATGATCTACATTCATCAGATTGTTGTAAACCACCACATTAGCAAAATAGAAGTTGCATTTGCAAAACAAAGAGCTAAAGTTTTAAGCAATTTATCTGGTATAATTTTGAAATAAAAATTCAAAATGTAGGGGCCTGATACAACCATTTTTGCCCTTGAACGTAGTTTATTTATATAAATACGTTTCTAGGCTTTATATAATTTATAGACATCTATCATTAACTACAAAGCAATTTTTTTTTATTTTCAAATTTTTTTTAATTGATGTTCAGTTTTATACATTTTGTCAGTTTAATAGTTTTATTTTCTTTTTTTGTCACCAGCGTGTTTCAATTGATTCGAAGCTTCGAAAAGGTTCGTGTCCCCCGTCGCTTTCGAACACCACGTGACCTTCATACTCTGGCTGAGCGTCAGCTGTACGCGTGCGCGTGGGATTGTACGTGTGTTTATTTATTTCTAAGCCAAGTGTTTTGTCTTTCAACCGGTGTAGGGATTAAAACATCGTCGATCCAGAATGATCTGAAGTAAGAGAAGGTAAATGTGCTATTTATAAAATATCTGTTTAAAGGACATGTGTTCTGTTAAAACTTGTGAATCAAGGCCGTCTTACATTGCCGCTACATGATTAGCTGCCTTCCCTTGCAGACAGACAAAACAAAGCAGATACTTTTTCATTAAATGCATTTTTCTGTACGGTATTTCGTCTAATTTGTTTTTAATATCGATTGTAGCTCATTCTAGGCCCTGTCGGCGACATTAAATGTGCAACGGTGAAGGTTTGTTAAAGGTTTCACGGCTTTAGCGGAAACCGCTAGCGAGCCTCTAAATGTACAAACTGTCTAGTAACAGTGTATTATTAATGAGCTAATATATAACTTAACAGAGGGGAATTATAGTTTTAATGCAAGAAATGTATATGTCACTCAGTACTTAATGTAATCGGGCTTATTGCCTAATGCAGCTAAGAAGTGTGTCACTTAATGTTAGGTAACAGAGTTACGGGTCTTTACACTCTTAACGATCCATACAACACACTGATGTTTTGCTAGTTGATCTACCCAGTTAATGACAGCTAATGCTTTCTAATAGTGTAACCCATAATTAAAGTCCAATAACTATTATACATAATTAATGACAATAATTACCTATCATAAATAACATATTCAAGCAGGTCACTAAGACTGAGATGACTTCTGTTAAGTTCGATTTGCTTTCCTAATGCACTTTTTTGGTCTTATTATGAAAGACTTAAGTAATATCAATAGATCTGTTCAGAATCAGATACTGTGAATATGTTTTATTGATATTTTGAATTAGTTTTCATTTTTATATTTTTCATTTTCTTTTTAATTCCAGTTAAAGTTTGAGTAATTTTGTTGTGGTGTTGTCATTTTTATTAGTTTTTGTTTAATGTCTATACGTTTAAGGTTTTTAAAGTATTTCAGTTAACATTTGTTTTATTACAAGTAACAATCCCCCCCCCCATAGTTTTCATACAACACTGATGTTTTGCTAGTTGATCTACCCAGTTAATGACAGTTAATGCTTTCTAATAGTGTAACCCATAATTAAAGTCCAATAACTATTATACATAATTAATGACAATAATTACCTATCATAAATAACATATTCAAGCAGGTCACTAAGACTGAGATGACTTCTGTTAAGTTCGATTTGCTTTCCTAATGCACTTTTTTGGTCTTATTATGAAAGACTTAAGTAATATCAATAGATCTGTTCAGAATCAGATACTGTGAATATGTTTTATTGATATTTTGAATTAGTTTTCATTTTTATATTTTTCATTTTCTTTTTAATTCCAGTTAAAGTTTGAGTAATTTTGTTGTGGTGTTGTCATTTTTATTAGTTTTTGTTTAATGTCTATACGTTTAAGGTTTTTAAAGTATTTCAGTTAACATTTGTTTTATTACAAGTAACAATCCCCCCCCCCATAGTTTTTCTTTTAGTTAACCTTAGTAAGTCTATTCCAGAGGAAAGAAATGTGTCTCATCCAAAAGTTGTCTTCTTTTTTGGGTGGCATCACTGAGCCTCCTTTATTCTATTGGATAATGTTAACGAATTGTCTTGTTAAATATTCTATTTCACTTGGTAATTTGTCACATGATGCAAGTAAAAAGGGTTGTGAACATATTTAATGTTGACTTGATCTTTCTTTTCTTGTCTGCGCAGGTAGAGAGGGGCTGGGATGGCGGTGTGTGTTCTAACTGTGCTTGACGGGCTCGGGGAGGAGGCCACGGCTTTGGGCAGCGTGGTTGTCCTGTTCCTGGCTGTGGTTCTTGCCTGGCTGTCTACCCACGTGGCCGACCGTGGAGATCACATTCTGGGTACCATTCTCACCGTGGGCGCCCACGCCTCC